CGCAATAACAACCAAAAAAGAATCCCCCTCGTCCTCACGTACCACCCCACCAACCTCCGGATCCAACGCGTCATCCTCCGACACTTCCGCCATCTGCAATCCGACCCCACCACCAAAGACATTTTTCCCTCCCCACCCTTATCTGCTTTCCGGAGGGACCACTCTCTCCGTGATTCCCTTGTCTGCTCCACACTCTCCTCCAGCCCCACCACACCCAGCACTTTTCCCTGAAACCGCAGGAAGTGCTACATCTGCCCCCACACCTCCTCCCTCACCCCCATCCCAGGCCTCGAGAAGACTTTCCACATCAAGCAGATGTTCACCAGCACATCTGCTGATGTGGTATACTGCATCCGCTGTACCCGTTGTGGCCTCCTCTACATCAGGGAAACCAAGCGGAGGCTCGGGGACCGCTTTGCAGAACACCTATGCTCGGTTCGCAATAAACAACTGCACCTCCCATTCGCGAACCATTTCAACTCCCCCTCCCATTCCTCAGACGACATGTCCATCCTGGGCCTCCTGCAGTGCCACAACGACGCCACCCAAAGGTTGCAGGAACAGCAACTCCTATTCCGCTTGGGAACCCTGCAGCCCAATGGTATCAATGTGGATTTCACAAGCTTCAAAATCTCCCCTCCCCCTACCGCATCCCAAAACCAGCTCAGCTCGTCCTCACTTCCCTAACCTGTTCTTCCTCCCACCTATCCCCTCCTCCCACCTCAAGCCGCACCCCCATCTCCTACCTACTAATCTCATCCCGCTCCCTTGACCTGTCCGTCCTCCCTGGACTGACCTATCTCCTCCCTACCTCCCCACCTACACTCACCTTTACTGGGTCCATTCCCGCCTCTTTGACCTGTCTGTTTCTTCTCCACCTATCTTCTCCTCTATCCATCTTCTATCCGCCTCCCCCTCTCTCCCTATTTATTTCAGAACCCCCTTCCCCTCCCCCATTTCTGAAGAAGGGTCTAGGCCCGAAACGTCAGCCTTCCTGCTCCTATGATGCTGCTTGGCCTGCTGTGTTCATCCAGCTCTACACCTTGCAAGAAGTTAAGGTGGCTGAGTGGAGGATTCAGTGAAAGAAGAGTCATATTGGACTTGAAACACTAACTCTATTTCTCTCTCCACAGATACTGTCAGGCCTGTTGAGTTTTTCCAGCACTTTCTGTTTTCAATCCATTTCTATCCTTGTGAATCTGCATCTGTTGTGAAATGAATTTATTTTCTATCTTTGGTAAAGAGAACATCAATTATCTGCAACTTGGAGTGGTACGTTATTATCTCTGAGATGTTGCTAAGGTCCGTGACTGGTTCAAGGGCATCATGTTTGCAAATAGAAAGCCCTTCTTTGCCATGATGTGACTCTCTTAATGAGGCTAAGGTGATTCCCATAGGGAAGCTATGATTTCATCAACTTCCTATCAATTGATCTGAAATAGATACTTCCTGAAACACATGTTCCCTTTGAAATTTCTGCTCTTCATTCCCCTCCCACTGCCATACCTCTTTTTCATGATCTTTTAATTGGCCTCAATGGGAGATGAGTGGGATCAGTAGGGCGGCACAGTGGCCTAGCGGTTAACACTGCTGCCTCACAGCGCCAGGGACCCACGTTTGATTCCCCCCTCAGGTACCTGTTGGTGTGAAGTTTGCATATTCTCCTCGCGTCTGCATGGGTTTCTGCCGGGTGCTGTCCACAGTCCAACGATGTGCAGGTTAGGTGGATTGCCATTGGTCATGCTAAATTACCGACAGTATTTAGGGATATGTAGATTGGGTACATTAGCCGTGGGAAATGCAGGTTTATATGGATAGGATAGGGGGATGTGATTGGGTGGGATGCTCTTCGGAGAGTCGCTGTGGACTTGTTCGGTCGGCCGACCGG